ACTGAAAATTTTAGAAAAACTGAAACATGTTCTATATTTTGCTGCTCTCAAAAAAATAAGATAGCAATAATCTGTTTAATTTATTTAATTCAGATTCTCAATCTGTACCAAAAATTAAATTTTTCATGAAATGGACTTTTTTTCGGTTGAAGTTTAAAAATAAATTTTTGTTTTACGGATGTAATTTAATCGTTGTTACTAAAGCATTAAAATAATAAGTATAAACTAAAAATCAAATAATATGCGCTATTACACCACATAATCACCTATTTAGGAAAAAACAAGACATTTCTTCAGTAAACACAAGTGCAGGTAATGTGGTATACCTTGAGTCGGCATGAAAAAAGCCAGCACTAGACATAATCTCATTACTATTTGAAACATTTGTACTCTAGGAGAGTCTACCATGAATCACAGGGATGAAAAACAAAGGCTATGAGTTTTAACAACTTCTCCACACAAAATTTAAAAATTGACATGTGTAGACATTATTTTATAATAAAAATTAAAGTTCCACTCAACATATCCGTTAAAAATCTTAACAGACATAAATCCTGAGCTAATTCGCATTCATTAAAAACAATAAATTATATAAGATATCAATTGGAAGTGAAAATTATACTAACCACATTAACATCATATGGTATACCACATTACCTGCACATTTTTTGAAATCACTTTTAATGGAATTTCAAATATTTCAAATATATTGTTAGAATAATATTATTTTCAAATTGATACATGGAAAGACAACACGTGTAGCATGTTAAGTGTAAAATTTCAATTTAATCGGATAAAAAATAAAAATTTGGCAATCTAAAAACAAATGGGTATACCACATTTGCATCACTTCCTATAGTGTCTTTCAATTTTCTTGCCTTCTTAAAGAAAATTGAAATACATAAATCCCCGGCTAAAGACTAAATCATGGAAATTGTGTTAACCGTATAAAATTTTTCCATAGGCGTATTTAACCTTCGCTGAGAATTGTGACAAGCACCAATATAGGCTAACATAATCTCCTCGATTTTATGAGTATCAGGAATTTAGGGACAGATTTCCACACATAACATAAAATATGTGGACCATTCGGCGAACGGGGTTAAAACTGATTTAAGACTATGTTTCCTTTCCGTCCACCTCATGAATGTATTCCATGGTACAATTATAAAAGGTAACAGCAAGTCCCAGCTGGTTCGATTCCAACGTAATACTAGTGTCAATATGAATTTGACAAATTATGTTTTTAAAAATCACCCAACAGGAAAATTGGGAACGCATACAATTCGAAATTGTTCTTTATTAAATGTACTCCCGTATTCATTTTACTCAATTTTCCTGTTGGAAAAGTTTGAGGAAGCAAATCTCTCTTCATTGAATAACTCGCAATTCCCTTAACTTTCATATGTGTTACACATATAAGTGGCAATAGTTCAATTAAGGAAAGATTTGGAAGCGATAGAAATATAAATTTGATAGATTTTCATTCATGTTTTTCAAATTTTATTTTTAGGATTCGAAAATATTTTATTTTCAAAATAAATATAATTTAGGAAACGATAACACAAACGCTCGAATTTGTTGTGCTCTGCGCTTCGGAGTTAAATATATTTTAACTTTTTGCGTGCGTTAACGCGATAACAAAAAACGCTCAACGCGAACATTCTGTTTAGCCCTTTAATCAGTAAATATTGTTAAAATTATTTTCCTAGTTATTTTTATGCTGTCGTCAACAGAATAACGCGACGGATGGCTCAACGCGAGCATTCTGCTTTACGACAACGCCAAATATTGTAATAAATTTTTTCTTTTACTCTGTTACAAAACCAAAGCAAACATTTTACTTTTAGAACCCTTTTTATATTGTATTGAAAAAAAGTATGTCATTTTTTGTTTTCTAATTAACTTTCTGGCAAGTGGAATTTGTATGAATATTGAGAAATGCAATAAAATAAATTCTTATGTACGCACGCAAAAAGTTAAAATATATTTAACTCCGAAACGCAGCGCACAACAAATTCGAGCGTTTGTGTTATCGTTTCCTTGTGGTTGTTGTATTTTCGATAACACATAAAGCAACGGATGGCTCAACGCGAGCATTCTGCTTAGCCCTTAAGGGCTAAACAGAATGTTACGATAGAGCAAAAAGTTAAAATATATTTAACTCCGAAACGCAGCGCACAACAAATTCGAGCGTTTGTGTTATCGTTTCCTTATGGTTGTTGTATTTTCGATAACACATAAAGCAACGGATGGCTCAACGCGAGCATTCTGCTTAGCCCTTAAGGGCTAAACAGAATGTTACGATAGAGCTGCCAAGGAGGTGGTTCTTGATTATTCGAGTTTTTAAATCATTTCTACTGAGTACTCATTTTATTTATAATACCTGAAATATTTGGTCTCTTATAATAACTTAGATGGTATGTTCCGTACTGCAGGAATCTACTCAATTTTACTATTTTCTTCGATATCATAAAGGAAAAAAGTGTTATCGGAGTAAAAAATAGTAGATTCTAGCAGTACGGGAACAGGCCAAGTTTTTGTAGATAAAAGAGATCTTTGTTATATAATATATATAAGTAAATTGTTTCCGATGATTACCATTTTTCCTCTTATGCCCCTTTACTGGCAAAACTATAACTCAATTTGTATACATGTATAAACTGTCTAGAAAATACAAATTAAAACATTCGGGAGCAAATCTTCCAGGGTTTTGGAAATTAATAGTATTTTCATATTTTTAAGCACATATTGTGAAAAACTTTACAGTAGATCCATTTTCGCCATATTTTGTTTTTACGTATAAACAAAGGAGTTACCGATTTAATCCCATATTTGCGTATCTTAATAATTCTTCTAGTCCTAAATAAAGCCGAAAATAGAGAATAGATGAGCACAACAAATTCGAGCGTTTGTGTTATCGTTTCCTTGTGGTTGTTGTATTTTCGATAACACATAACACAATGGATGGCTCAACGCATGGCCTATAAATAAGGTCACCAAGATAGCAATCGAAATCGGAAAACAGCTGTGAAAAACTTTACAGTCGATCCATTTTCGCCATATTTTGTTTTTACGTATAAACAAAGGAGTTACCGATTTAATCCCATATTTGCGTATCTTAATAATTCTTCTAGTCCTAAATAAAGCCGAAAATAGAGAATAGATGAGCACAACAAATTCGAGCGTTTGTGTTATCGTTTCCTTGTGGTTGTTGTATTTTCGATAACACATAACACAATGGATGGCTCAACGCATGGCCTATAAATAAGGTCACCAAGATAGCAATCGAAATCGGAAAACAGCTGTTTTTTTCTCAAGTCTAATGTCAAAAATTTCCACTTTGTTTACGTTTTCATAATGGAAGTCAATTCACAATAATGCATTTTGACAGCAAACTTGAGAGGTATCGATAATCAGCTGGTCTCCCTTGGTGACCTTATTTATAGGCCATGGCTCAACGCGAGCATTCTACTTAGCCCTTCCAGCTGACTTTATGCTTTTATTGGTAATTAAGTCGACTTCGTAGATTGAAGTCTCGATTGGCATATTTTCAATAAATTAAACCAAACATCACGCTTTTTAAGGGCTAAGCAGAATGCTCGCGTTGAGTCATCCGTCGTTGAGTCATTATCAAAAATACAACAACCACAAGGAAACGATATGCGTTTGTGTTATCGCTTCGTTGTGGTTGTTGTATTTTCGATAACATATAACGGGACGGATGGCTCAACGCGAGCATCCTGCTTAGCCCTTAATAAGCGTGATGTTTTGTTTAATTTATTGAAAATATGCCAATCGAGACTTCAATTGATTCGAGCGTTTGTGTTATCGTTTCCTTGTGGTTGTTGTATTTTCGATAACACATAACACAATGGATGGCTCAACGCATGGCCTATAAATAAGGTCACCAAGATAGCAATCGAAATCGGAAAACAGCTGTGAAAAACTTTACAGTCGATCCATTTTCGCCATATTTTGTTTTTACGTATAAACAAAGGAGTTACCGATTTAATCCCATATTTGCGTATCTTAATAATTCTTCTAGTCCTAAATAAAGCCGAAAATAGAGAATAGATGAGCACAACAAATTCGAGCGTTTGTGTTATCGTTTCCTTGTGGTTGTTGTATTTTCGATAACACATAACACAATGGATGGCTCAACGCATGGCCTATAAATAAGGTCACCAAGATAGCAATCGAAATCGGAAAACAGCTGTTTTTTTCTCAAGTCTAATGTCAAAAATTTCCACTTTGTTTACGTTTTCATAATGGAAGTCAATTCACAATAATGCATTTTGACAGCAAACTTGAGAGGTATCGATAATCAGCTGGTCTCCCTTGGTGACCTTATTTATAGGCCATGGCTCAACGCGAGCATTCTACTTAGCCCTTCCAGCTGACTTTATGCTTTTATTGGTAATTAAGTCGACTTCGTAGATTGAAGTCTCGATTGGCATATTTTCAATAAATTAAACCAAACATCACGCTTTTTAAGGGCTAAGCAGAATGCTCGCGTTGAGTCATCCGTCGTTGAGTCATTATCAAAAATACAACAACCACAAGGAAACGATATGCGTTTGTGTTATCGCTTCGTTGTGGTTGTTGTATTTTCGATAACATATAACGGGACGGATGGCTCAACGCGAGCATCCTGCTTAGCCCTTAATAAGCGTGATGTTTTGTTTAATTTATTGAAAATATGCCAATCGAGACTTCAATTGACGAAGTCGACTTACTTACCCCTAAATGCATAAAGTCAGCTGGAAGACATCTAGCTGTCAAAATTATTTCTATTTTGAATTAATCGTTTGAAAACATAAATAAACCTTTGATAGCGTGAAGTAATTCAATCACAATCGTAATATTTTGTAGCAGCTGGCTGACTTGTAAATTGGCTTTGATCTAAAATATCAAAATTAGTTGGTTAAGTTGGTTGATCGCATTTTAAAAACATAATGGGATTATCTAAGGAAGAAGGGAATAAAATAACTGAGAATATGTTTATTCGTCTGAAAGACATAGAACCGCTTTGTAATGATAATTGTAAAATAAAAAACCCCGAGCGATTAGAAAAAATATTGAATGAGTTTGGACGGGGCGGAACGGATCGCCTACAGTTAGTTTCCGATTTTGACTACACCATTACCAAGCAGCGTAAAAGTGATGGCTCGCCAGTTCTTAGTAGCTTTGGAATATTAAATGCATGTGAATCGTTGCCACAACGGTTTATCGACGAATCTAAAAATCTACATAACAAATACCGACCCATTGAAATTGATCCGCACATACCAATTAATGAGAAAATCCAATGCATGATTGAATGGTGGACAAAGACGGGAGAGTTGTTAGTGTAAGTTTGTAGTTATATATATCAGTCTAATAAGTATAAAGCTAGTTATGAATTTGCAGTGGGTTTAAATTGGAGCAGAGCGAAATTGATGTTGTAGCGAGCAAATACAAGGACTCGCTAAGGGAAAATTCGCATCAACTCTTTGGCACTCTGAACAGGTTGAACATACCGGTCTTGGTATTTTCAGCTGGTTTGGGAAACTCGGTCATATCAGTTCTGAAACAAGCCAATGTAATGTACCCTAATGTGAATGTTATTTCCAATTTTTTGCAATACAAAAATGGTGTACTCGATGGTTTCCAAAAACCTATGATACACAGTTTCAATAAAAATGAAACAGCCCTTGACCGTCATAAATATTACGATTTAGTTCATAATCGTGACCACATTATAGTCATGGGTGATTCCCTCGGGGATGCTGATATGGCAAATGGTGTACCAGCTTCATCGCACATTATTAAGATCGGATTTCTCTATGACCATGTAAGTATTAATGTAAAATACTAGGAAATAATCAATTTCGAACTTTTATAGGCTGAAGCAAGTTTGGAGAAATACATGAATACTTTCGATATTGTATTGGTTGATGATCAAACAATGAATGTACCTTTGGCGTTATTGGATGTTGTGGAGAAATACCAAACTATTCGTAACATTTAAATTACAATACAAAGAGCTCAACATTTAATAAAATTATTCTTACATAGAGCTGCCAAGCAGGTGGTTCTTGATTATTCGAGTTTTTAAATCATTTCTACCGAGTACTCATTTTATTTATAATACCTGAAATATTTGGTCTCTTATAATAACTTAGTGTTTGTAGAGAACTTCGTTATATAATATATATAAGTAAATTGTTTCCGATGATTACAAATTTTCTTCTGATGCCCCTTTACTGTCAAAACTATAACTCAATTTGTATACATGTATGAACTGTTGTTTGTATGTTGATTTAACAAAAATCTTGTATGCTAACTTGATTTCACTATGCTCACATAATTAAGTCACTCCAATGAAAATACATTACCTGTAGTTCTTGTAAAATGTATACTTCATAAATGTAATATGACGACGGTTTAGTCGAAAAGCGTTGTAATTTTTAATTAGGGGTACCTTGGGTACAATATAAATTAAATATCACTTTTTCAAATATATTAGCGATGAAATAAACTTAATTTAACAAATAACTTGTATGCTAACTTGATTTCACTATGCTCGCATAATTAAGTCACTCCAATGAAAATACATTACCTGTAGTTTTTGTAAAATGTATACTTCATAAACCGCGGGAAATCCGTTTTAAAAAATAACTTCTACAAACCTCTTGTCGAGTGGACGGACAAGAGGAGGCTTTCTAACGGCTCTTTTAATGATTCGTCAGAGATTCTCAAAGGTGTCAAGGTCAGGACTTTGAACAGGCCACTCAAGTAATAAAACAAACGCGAGTACACAACAACGATCGTTCGTTGCGTTGGTGGTTGACATCTTTTTTGACAATCGTTCGCGAATGCTTATTGTGTGTAGTTAATGTAATATGACGACGGTTTAGTCTAAAAGCGTTGTAATTTTTAATTCGGGACTTATATTTATATATCGTTAGCTAAAATGCAAAAATGCGTAACTAGCAAGAAACTGTTTTGAATAAAAACTATAAACATGTCAAAAAAAGTATGCCCGGCAGGGTGACATTGCATACGACGAATAATAGACTATACTTTTTTAAACAAATTTATTTATTTAATTTAATGGCAGTCGTAACAATTAAGTAAACAATTGAATTTTTTGTTAGTTACGCCTTTTTGCATTTATCAAATAAAACCACTTGTAATTACGTCTTTTTGTTTTTTGTTAATAAAAGCTCCTTTTTTGACCGCAGACGTGTAAAACTTTGTCAACACATGTAGTTTATTGACATTCACAATATTCATTCAAAAAGTCAATTTTTTGTTTGTTACGCCTTTTTACATTTTAGCTAACGATATAAGACTTTGATTTATCCCTGTTAACATTAAAATACGCTTTTTAGAAAGATATTTGGAGTTTTTATCCGGTCCTGCTTTGTATTTCGCAATTAGAAAGTTGACAGCAAAAGAAGACTATGTCATGAATTCACCATTCATTTAATTCGGGACTTATATTTATATGGTATATGTGTATATATTTAGAAACTTTATTTCCGGAAAAAATATTCCTGTCAATTTAGAAATTTTATTTCCGGGAAATTATATAGGGAACTCCCGAAAATATCCCTGTCAAAAAATCTAAAAATCTCGGGAATACCCTTGACGGGAATTCCCGACCCCAAACATCCGATATTGCAATTAAATTCGCGAAATTTTCAAAAACATTTTTTGACAAATTTGGGGTTTTTGGCAGGCCAGTTCACGCCGTTATAGTAAATGGATTTTCAGGAAAATACTTTATTTTATCCGGAACCTTACTAATCGCGGGTACCCATATCAATCAAATGACATATGTATATAAAAATTTGTCCGGAAATTTGTTTCCTTTTTTTAGAAACTTAATCGCAAGTAAAACAATCGTATCATTGATGTTTGCAAATTTCGACTACATTTCGTCGAAATGTCTGTAACAACATATATGTATATTGCTACAGAAAGTATGTATTTAAAAAAGATTACTCCTATTAAATTGTTACTCGGAATTAAATTGTTAAAAAAAAAAAAAAAAAATATATATATATATATATATATAAACGTGGTAATATTTTTAAATACAAATTTTCTTTAATTAACCCTTTGAGCCCCGAATTGTTTCACAAAATTTGACCTTGCTTCATCCTTGCATTCAGGAGATACATTACATTCTTTTGGAAAAATTAAAGTCCAATATAAAGAAAACCAAATGCAAGATCGACAGAAAAATCATTTTAAATTATTCTCTATTCTATATCAATTTGAATTTTTCTTTTGATATGTGTCGTCCATAATCAGGTCTTGACATATGTATGAAATCCAATAACAAATAACAAAAATCTTTTAAATTATTTGAAACTGACGTTTGTAAGTTATAACTCGCGAAATATGAACATATTACTCCTATTAAATTGTTACTCGGAATTAAATTGTTCAAAAAAATATATATATATATATATATATATATATATATAAACTTGGTAATATTTTTAAATACAAATTTTCTTTAATTAACCCTTTGAGCCCCGAATTGTTTCCGCTATATTAGACCAAATTTCTGTTCACAGATTTAATGCAACTATCCTAAATAGGATATGCACAAAATTTGACCTTGCTACATCCTTGCATTCAGGAGATACATTACATTCTTTTGGAAAAATTAAAGTCCAATATAAAGAAAACCAAATGCAAGATCGACAGAAAAATCATTTTAAATTATTCTCTATTCTATATCAATTTGAATTTTTTAATTTTTCAATAACAAAAATCTTTTAAATTCTTTGAAACTGACGTTTGTAAGGTTATAACTCGCGAAATATGAACATATTGCATATAATTTAAATTCATTTCTATAAAATGAAGTGTTCTTGTCAAAATCTTAAAATATTGGTAATAAATAATAACTTGGGTGGAAGCTGTGATGGTGGTAATGTAAAAAAATGGGTAAAAATGTGTTGAAGCCAACGAGTTTTTTTGTGTTCCTTCCTGATTTGTGGCTAAACTACACAACGCACGCACACGTGATCAGTGACTAAGTTGCAGAATACCCCATGGGCAATATGGTTCTAATGTATGATTTTTCGATATTATCACTGCATCCACCCAAAACGGATGCTGACATTTTGAAGCCGGATTTTCGGTGTTTGTTGAATTTTTCTTATAATCAGGACGCGCATCCAGATAATTCCGTGGAACCCCGCGTGATTTTAATTTTTCTACGTGCCGGATCTAATGAGCCCAGCCATGTTCAATTCCGCCAAATAAAACGGCGGATATAGGTACCTTGAAAGTACGAAAAACTGCAAAAACTTATTTTGACTAATTCGCGTATATAATCGCGTTTTTCTTCGAATTGATTTTTCCTACATTCATGCTTGTATTATCATATGCGCGGATAATATGCGTATTTTATCCAAATTTGATTGTGGTGGCACACATCCGCGGTTCTTAACCAATTATTTTAAAATAGATGTACTTTTATGTATTTTCATTGGAGATTACTGAAATCTGACGCGCATAGAAATCTTATGCACGTTGCGTCATTTTTAGCAATTTTTACGGTTTTTGCACACATTGACCGCTAAATGAAACATCGAAAAATTCATAATTATTGGAAGAGACTGCTTCGGTTTATACGAAAACCGCATGCACAACAACTGATTTCCACGAATACGCGGATTGCATGCTTTTCAATATTGACCATTTTTATGTATTGTAAGTGCAATATATTTAGTCATTTTTAACGTCGAAACTCCTTTCAGATGAATCTACCGATATTTAACAACCATCTAAAAGAATTTGCAGAAGAAAGCGTCGTATGTTTTAGAAGATTAAGGCAAAACCGCATTCCCTTAACCATACTAAAAATGAAAAATTCAATGTCTTAATTAAAAAAAATTATTTATTACTATTATATTATACCGTATTTCAATGTGATTTGACAAGTATGCAAAGAAAACGAATGTGTTTATCCATTTGTGAAGAAACTCGCGAATTACAACAAATAGAAATACATTTAATTTATGTTTGAAATACAAGATTTAAAACCACTATAACTTTTGTGCGCAGCATCCGAACTTGTATGTTTGAAATACAAGATTTAAAACCACTATAACTTTTGTGCGCAGCATCCGAATTTGTGAACGCGAACAAATTTCGAATCAGCATATTTTTCTTAACCTATGTACCAAAAATTATAAATGTGCTTGCAAAAAAAATTTCAAAATTTTTTAATGGAATTTTAAAAGAATTTTGTAATTTCCCATATCTACTAGCTGTGTATTAAATATAAGCTCTAAAACATTTTGTTGCCTGTGGGCAACATTGGGCCACAAAGGGTTAATAAAAATACACACACGAAATAGAAGAAAACAACAAATTACCATATCTTGACGCAATGATAATTCGACAAGGCCAAAAATTAACAATAGATTGGTACCAAAATCCCACCGCATCTGGACGGTTAATAAATTTCTATTCTAAACACCCAGACGCATAAAAATAAATCCGGCCACAAACTTTATAAACAGAGTTTTAAACATAAGCGACGAACAATTTCACCAAGCAAATGAGGAAAAGATACGATACGTATTAATGAAAAATGACTTCCTATTAAAAACAATTCAGGAACTACTAAAATCCTGCAAATCGAAAAATAAAACCAAAATTGAAAAAGAAGAAAAATCGTACAAGCCAATGACATATATACCAGGACTTTCCGAGAGATTGAGCAATTCAAATATCAACTAGCTCTAAAATCTAAAAATAGTATCAATAGCCTATTCAGCAAGACAAAATCGAAAATAAAAAAGAAGACAAGTGCTATGTAGTGTATAAGATAAAATGTAACGGGGACAAAACCAACTTATGCCAAAAGGTATATGTTAGTACAACAAAAAGCAAACTAAAGACAAGACTTTCTGGACATAAGTCAGATCAAACTACAGAAAAAACATTATAACAAAAGACGGCTCTTGCAGCACATTGCACAATGACGGGGCATACGCCAAATTTCAAAGACGTTGATATTTCGACACAAGAAAACAATTATAAACGACGATTTACTTTAGAAATGCTTAATATAATAAATGTACCGCAAGAGAAGAGAATGAATTACAAGACTGACACGGACCACTGTGCACATATGTATAGAAATTTAGTTCATAAGCACGGACGAATTAGAGTTTAGTTTAGCAAAGACGGTGTAAAAAACCTGTAGCTTCTCTCAAAACGTAATATTTGTGTTATATTATTTTGTGAAAACCTTATTAAATAATTGTATCTTTTAGTATTTCTCTGAAGATGACTGTCGAAGACAGTCGAAATATTGGAAAATAAAAATAAAAAAAGCAGAAAACAAAATACTGAATTTTATTTAACCTTAAGCCGAAACAAATCCAAAGAAGAAAAATACAAACATTTAAATTAAGTGCGCCAAATACAAAAATCTTAATTAGACTCGAAAACATATTCTAATGTCTCCACAAAATTGTGTCTAGTTATTGCCAAATACTGCGATATCGGCCGGATAGAGGATACACGATGGTCGCTGCATTTCTCCCACAAAAATAGTACTCCTTATGAACTTTTAATAGGCCACTGGATATATTCTTTCTAGGAGATATTTTCAGCAATTGCAATTGTCGTCATTGTTTTCTTACACTGTTTTTGCCTCAATTGTATACTATACTATAAATAAATGCAAAAACATTTTTCATATAAAGATTTTTATTTATGAGTACGGAATCGTAAAAAACTATAATAAACAATTATAATGAATAGACAACATGTCATTGAAAGAATATGTATGGGCTCTTAACATAAAAAAATCGAAAGTTAAATACCTCGGCACATTGCCCTAACTAATTTGCTTTATTGTAGGTTCACTTATTTTGAAATTCGGGTTTCTATGCTTTATAAGGGGATAAAATAATAATATAAAATATTAGTTGTATCCGTCCTCTCCTGATACAAGGTATCAATGGACTAATATAAATAATTTGTAATTATGTTATATTCGATTCATCCTTTTTATTTAATAATGCAAGTATAAATTTTATATATATATATATGTATATGCTAGTTTGTTTTTAATGCTACTTAACACTCGTATTTGTATTATTACTTGTGTTTTATTAACCATACCATTTCTCAATGAATGCTTTTGTTAACATATTTATGTATTTTGCATTTTTTAACGTACAAAAATGTATACTTTTAAAAAGCTTAATTTTTGTTACTAAGTGGAATAATCTTTCATGTGTTCATCCTTAATGTTAACATTTATATATTGTATAAGATAGAATTGGAAAAGGCCTTCTCCAGTATATATTTATTTTAATTATATTTGTGCAATACGAATAAATGCATAAGAGTTTTAATATATATTTCCTACATATACCTCGACAGTATTATGCACAGTTAACATAGTATATAACAGTGGAACAAAAATTTATTATGGAATTAAACGAAAAAAAAAAAACAATTCAACTGAGCCGTACTTTAAAGTTTTTTAGTATGAAGGGCATGTATTTTTAATAAACACATGAAATCGAAAATACTGATTTAATTTCCATAACTCAATATTCGAAATATCAAGTCATATTTCCTTATTGTGTTTGCTGTTTTTAAGTATTGAGGATTTTCACGAATGCCTGCTTATATATACATCTCTTGAATATGTACTATAGCCTTTTGAAATGAAACGTGCTGTGTTCCCCTACAAATTTGTAGTTGTATGTAAGAAAAACTAATGCTATTTGCTTGGCGAAAAATTAAAATAAATCGGGAAAATGAATCAAAATGTTAACCTTTCGCAAGTCCTTTCTCCAAATTGGGGCTTGTTAAGATTTGTTCTATAATTATAATGTGCTGCTTCTTGCCATCCATTCTCTTTGAAATTTGGCAACAAAAACACGGACAAAACAATGAAATGTTCTACACTCATGTAAAAATAATGCACGTACAGTACAATTTATGAAGTAAATTAACAAACTTGTGGTAAACCGGTTTTTAAGGCATTTTTGTTGTGATAAACACACAATATTAACAAGATGTTCTAGCTTTGCAAAGCCACTTTACAACGATTCATGATTTCCGTTGTTAATTTCTTTAACTTCATCAGTAATGAAATGAGAGAACCGATATTTCAGTGAAGTTCTGTAGGACTCTTATTTTGTTGCTATAGAGTGAAATCAAATATTGTTCTAATATGTGAATTTATTAATAAAATCTTCCTGATGTAAGATGTATCGAGCTATAAGATGTGTATTATGAATTTTCAAGTACTGGAAATATTTAAATCACTTTTAAAATGTGATTCAATCAATACAACTCTTAACCATTTAGTCTTATTACCTAAATATTATTTGTCTATTTTGCCTATTTAAATTAGGGTGACGAATCGATACCATTGGGAAAACATAAATGCGTATATATATAAATATATATTTTTGATTAGGTCGAGTTATAACTTATATTATGGATAGTTGTCGTTCACACATTGGAGATAGCACCCGTTTATTTCTCGAAATAACTTTTTAATGCGAAAAGCAGACACCTGCCCATTTCTTATGTTAAGCTACCACTACATGAATGTGTATTATCCTATGTAGTCCACGGCGTCTTAACCCAACTTTCATTCGAAAAAATATTTTTTTTGGGTACAGCACCTGTCGTTCATTTAATGTAAGTGGATTTGATTGCCAGATTGCCATATACCCATGTCTATTCACTGTCAGTATTTAAGCCAACACGCTTTTCTTCCTCGAGCATGGCATCTAATTCATCAGTTAGATTTGCTAACATATTACCAATATCGTTAAGTACATTTACAGAGACTTTCGGTCCATTGGATGTTGAGGATGAAATATTTTTTGCATCACTGCCACAGGCACTAGAATTCGTTATGGCACTTGCTTCTGTTGAATTACCAGAATTATTTTCGTCGATATTGGCATTTTCAACTCCCGCCAGTGATGGTACACTCTCGGCCTGAATCGAGGGATATTGTAATGTTGGCGATCGCAGCAGAGTGAGACCTACACTACCACCACTAGCTGTGCTACCGATGCTATCGCTCCTTATCAAGGATGCGTCATGTAGAGAGGACGATGACTTCAAAGAATGGAATGAGTGTGCTATATTAGCTATAGTATTAGTCGAAGACGAGGACGATGATGAAGATGATGAATGTAAGTGGCTGCCAAGAGTTGTTTGTGCTACAGAATTGGTTGCATTTGCAGAAAGTTCTTGTCTATTCAGTAGTCGCTGTTTTATTGTTCCAGTGTTTTCATTCGCAAACGGTATTGTATCAATTGAGTCTATACTAGAATTGGACTAGAAAATGCAACATCGATTATTTTAAATATTTCCCTTCTGCTTGAAGGCCATAGGATTATAGTCCTACCTTATTATCATGGGTTTTTTCGCAGTGTATTTCTGCTGTTGTTTGTTGTATTGTAGCATAGTTTGCATAAATTGGCTGAGCAGCCTGCTGCTGTAAATATGCAGCATGGGGATGTATACTCGTAGACGCGTTAGAGACGCCCACAGAGCTGTAATACATGTTTGCCGCAAGACCATGTCCAACAGTATTTGAAACAGCATTTAAATGTGAACCATCTTGACTTATTGTTCGTGAGTTTCGTATACTACAATGACGTCTTGGGGGTTCTGGTGCTATTTTTTTACCGACCATCGGGCTTCCCGCTATATACGGCTACAATAAATAAATATTGATAAATAATAAAATGTTATCAATACAACAACTAAAATTAATACAATAACTAACATTGTTTATATTGGCGTTGTCGATTACGTTAGCGGAGGATGCAGTGCTACCTGCAACATTTGCACCTGTGCCTCCGAGTCCGGCGGCATGACAGACATATTCTGCCGCAGCAGCATTCATGTAATGATGTTGTTCCAGCGGAGGCATAGTATTCAGAACAGCACGCTGAAGAATCCCACGCTGTTGGCGAGGTAATGTTCCTCCTCCATCTTCATACATCAATTCTCTGGCAGCAGCATCATTTGTGGGTGTTATGTCACCATCATCATAAGAACGGCGCCAATTCTAAAAATAAATATGGTTTAAAAAGTTGATCGGTGTTGGAGTATTTATTACCATTGTGCTTGGATTGCTTAGGATTCGCTGAGGTGCACCTACCGTTGCTCCTGCCAAAGTGACTTGTTGTAAATGATGTTGCTGTTGCATGACTTGGTGTGGCTGAACTTGCGATGGGTGTCCAAAATGACCATAGTCCGTGGTTGTGTAATGACTGAATGTCAAGTGGCTTCGAGTGCTGTTGTCGTGTATATCTTCAAGAGATTCCAAACTTTTACCTCGTGGTTGACGTACCTGATCAAGTGGATTATTATTGTATTGATATGATTAAATCGAAAAAAACTAGCTTTCAAAATAAATATTACAAAATTCAAATAAAATCAAATTAGAATGAACATTGAAATCCCACACCATACGAAACCAGATAAATAATTCGTCGAGTTTCCGACTTCCCTCCAACTTACATGTAACGCAATATTGTTTTCATCTAATAATAGACTACTGCCACATATTTAAAGGGTTTCTTTATTTAGCTCGTATACAGCAGTTTAAAACATACAATGATGCTAAGAACTAGTAAGCGCACGAGTAGTCAGACTGAACTTTACATTTTTGTTAAACAGAATCCCGATGTTGGAAAAATGCAGCGATATGTAAGTTTTCTTGTGTAGTAATGGTAATATTAAACCATATTAGAAAAGTTGTTACCCTTTGGAAATTGTATAATAAACCATATATATATAATAATAATTTTAAATTTTCTGTGTAAAACCCTGAAGTAAAATAATTAACAAAAATTTTTTATAAATTGGTTCACATACAACTGACGCTGACGGAATGTTTCATCTATTTTTTTATAAACATGCTTCGAATTTTGCATATTAAGTTATATATTTTCTAATTTTGAATCGCAACGAAAATATTTTTCCTTTTTATTACCTTAATTAATACAACATCATTGTCATTACAACATTCTTGGCTACTATTGTAGCATGTGTATGTGGTGTCTGGCATTGCAGAAGTATTGGCGTAAATTTTAGAATCATCCCACGAAACACGGGCAGTGGGTAAATAAGTTGGGGTGGGTGGTAAATGTTGCCAAGGCTTGGCATAAATCTAAATAAACAAAAAATAACAAAACAATTTTAAAATAAAAATGTGCAAACAAAAATATATGAACATATGTATCTAAAGGAAGCAAGGAGAAAAATATTAATTTTGTTCCAGTAGTTACAGTATTTACCTGGTTATAGAGGTTTGACCCCCCGGGATTCCATTTTCCGCTTATTATATCCTTAACACGTTTTATGGCAAGCAAGATTTTCTTTTGATGTCCGAGCTTGACAATACCAATATCTTCCAGATCTTCCCATGTTACTTGAGTAACCTCGCGGACAGTTTTATAATTTTGATCCAATAAAGGCTGCAAGTACTCCTCCAAACGAAGTAGTTGTAACCATTCTTCAATAGATCCCTGACAACAATGTTATGAATGGAAATAATTAAAAAGTTTATGCAGACGCCCAATAGTAAAGTTAGACCTCAATTATTCGAAAACAAATCGGTTTACCATAATTTACAAATATTCGCCCATCATTAAATACGCCAGAATATATAGTCGAAACCGTCTATAACGACGAAATCCAAAAGTCCTGAATTTCTGCCCTTTTTAGCCCACACAAAAAAATATCGCATGTAACGTTGGCATATCGGTTTTAACGACCTGTGTTTGCAAAATATTCGAATATTCCTACAAATATTAACGACAAACCCTACGAACAAACATATTTGTCACAAAATATCGAACGCACTTTGTTCTTAAGTGATTAATTTACATTAAATATACATTCCTCGTACACACACGAAGTACAGAAAATGAATTTATGTTATTTATATATCAAAACAACAAACTAATAGTCTAAAAATTACTATATACATATATCATCCATATTTTATTAATATCGCTTATAACGACCAAATTCACCGGGTCCTTGACCGTTGTTATAGGCGATTTCGACCGTAAATTATTTTAATTCTTTCTCATTTCTAGACCGACTTAAATGTTTGACTTTGCCACTGTTAACATACTAAAAATAACCTAAATTTAGGAAAATGTTTTGTAAAAAATGTTTAATGGTTATTAGATTAGACGCTACCACCGCCAGATATCCCGACCATCACGGATAATCGTGGTCTAACTGTATTTGTAACTCACCGGTACGAAATGTGGCAGATTGTCTAAAACTTGTAGTTTGTCGATTCGCTGCTTGATACGTTCACGATGGTGTGGATTTTTAATGCCAATGGCTGTTAAATCTTCCGGAGTCATTCTTGCTATTGTTGGCAAATCATATCCTGCCGCAATGAAAAGTTGTGCATACTCTTCATATTTCATTTCCATCAGCCAATCTACAATCAACTCTTCATTACGCTGTCGATCCATGGAGCCAATCGAACATGAACTTAAGGAGCTACATCGTGGTGATGAGAGGGCCCCACCTCCACTACTACGTATTGATCCTGCCCCAGAAACTCCTGTTAAATATGATGATGCTCTACCCGAATCTAAACTGGCTGTTGAGTGTCGTGATCCAGAACCTGCTGAACCAGATGAGGAGCCGGGAGAATCTCGGCCCGGCGATTGGGTTAGATCAATTCCCTGATCCTCTTGCAGTGCCAATTGTTGATGGTAATAAACGGCGGCTTTGTGTGTTAACGGCTCTCGCAATGTAGCACAAAAGACTGGTGGAACTCCAGGTATTAGGGTATTCGTATTGACCCCAGGTGGCATACTTTTAGCACCGGTTGTACCCGGTATGGCTGCTTGTGAAGAACCCGAAGATGCCATAGCGGACGATGAATATTCTCCAATTTCGTCTGCAAAACAAAATATTATTATATTGCTAGACTTGAAACATTTCACCTCACCTTTTATTCGCAATGCCACTGTGGGCTCCCGAGGCAAATTAAAGCCGCCTTCCTCGAGCGATGGCGATGAAACCATATTACTCATTATAATACCATCCTCCAACTGTGCTTTACAGGCAGTATTCGGTGCATTTGTCGGTAAACGGTATAATCCTACTTGTTGCTGGTACGATGATGGTGAGGGAACAGGATCTCCTGGAAGGGCTGGTGGGGCGACTTTTGTAATCTTTTTAGCTTGTGTGTGTGGTTTCAGTGAGCGATGCATGATCGCAATGACCACTAATATTTACCGCGCTGCCTTGTATATTGTGAATGAAAAAGTATCTGCAATCTCTAGAATGACGCTAAATTGGAAAATAGCTGAGGTCAACACATACTTTCTTATTTATTTTTTTGTTTGAGTTCGAGGTGAATGTGGATTCAAAGCACCATTAAACCAGATGTATTAACTATGAGCAACCTAACTAAAGCTACGAGTAGAGCATATCAGCATTTAAAAAAGGGGAGAGGTATACATTTTAACAATAAGCCAGCGCAATTGAATTAATGAAGTAGAAACAAAGAGCTAAGCAAAACCAGTTTTCAATTCAATAGCGCACAGGTAGGATTCCATCTTCGAGTGTTGCCAAATAAATCAAAACATTTAACGCTTACAAATTATATATACATGTACAATGATGGCCACGTGAATAGAACGTCACTTACAATTATTTTTCAATATTTTATTGGGGAGATTTGATGTAAGAACAGAAATGATCATCAGACTTTAGGGAAAGTTGTCCGACATAACTTAACATTACTGTAACGTAATATGAAACATAGTTTGAATAAGTTTCAACAATATATTTAGTTTTAATATTGAAAAGAATTAATAAATGTTTGATGAACATTTTGTCTTCCCATATGATTTGATCGATCAGAACGTTTAACAATCCTAGCATATTGTCTCGAGGAGCCGCCCCTTAATATCTTATCGACATTGTATATTCCTATTTATATGAGATCTCTAAATAGAAAAAAAATTCCGTCTTTTAGTTTTTGCAAAATTTGCATCGAGGTAAAGTTGTAAGTAAATGACTGGATTGTCCACACTGGTGGACATCTACAAAGTGGATTTGCTATATACAGGCAGGTTTAGCACCGCCTCCGTCTAACCAATGCAGATTATGGGACATGATGCAGTTGCTTAGAAAAACCAAAAAAGGATGTAGGAGGCAACAAACAACACATTACCTGTATGAGTTGTACAGATATGATGGAATGTTGAAGACATATATGGAATAACTATCGTCGCTGGCATCTAAATGCAATCTACTTTTATGGAAGAGACCAAACAATCGCTTTTGTATATATTCAATGTATTAAAAACATGTTATATATCCCTCACACATTAAATATGCAATCTACTTTTATGGAAGAGACCAAACAATCGCTTTTGTATATATTCAATGTATTAAAAACATGTTATATATCCCTCACATATTAAATATCACAGAGACTCGAAAAACAGGCCCCTAATATAATGGGCACCAACTTCCGTTCCAGCAGATCCAAACATTACGTTCGTAAATGTTTTTGAGTAGCTCCAAAGCTTCTACTTAACCATATTTTCTGCATTAAATTTTGTATATCAAAATTATTCAAGATACATTTTAACAACCAACTGACTTTAAAAGTAACAAGAAAAAAAGTGTCAGTCGGTGTTGCCGACAGATATATACCCCAGCCTATGGTTTGCGGAGATCTTCAGAATTACACACAGATTTTATTATTAGCTTTATATAAGAAATATGGTTTTATCGAAGAGGTTTCGGTTTTAATGTTGCTAAAATTTTATAAAATATTGACCATTTGTGAGGGAAGTACAGGAAGGAGTGGACTATTGGGTCCCATCTTCGGAATTGATATAGGATTGGTAAAGATAATAAGTTGTGCAAGGTTTGGTTCAAATCTGACATTCCATTCGCCTGGTATTGGATTTACTAATATTGAAAATAATAATATTGACCATTTGTGGGGGAGGTACCAGAAGGAGTGGACCAATGGGTCCCATCTTCGTATTTAATCTAGACTTCGTAAAAATAATGGGTTGTGTAAAGTTTGGTTCACATCGGACATTCCATTCGCCTGATATTGGATTTACAAATATTGAAAATGTTGACCATTCGTGGGGGAGGTGCTAGAAGGTGTGGACCAATGTGTCTCATCTTCAAACTTGTTATTGTAAAATTAATTTTTAGCACAATTTTGACCATTTTGTGGGGGAGGTACCAGAAAGAGTGGGCCAGAAGGAGTGGATCTATATTCCCCATCTTCAAACTTAAAATATGTTTGGAAGAAATATTAAGATGTGCAAAGTTTGAATGAAATCGTTTGCTGGCTTCAATAGTTATCGTGCGCACCAGCCAGCCAGACGGACAACGCACGTACGGAAGGACGGATTGACATATGTAAATCGACTCCAAATTTTTTGAAACGGATTTGGTCCAAAGAAACATGGGGTCTAACAACAATATTTCGATGAGACACATTTTCACCGTATCAAAGTGTATATACCCTCATTAGCCATAAGGCTGAGGGTATAAAAAGCATACAATACTTTTCATATAATATGAATGAAGGGGACATAAAGAACAAAGGAACATACACAAATTTAAAACCAGTGAGCGGAGCAGTATAGTCGGACGGCGCCGACCATACGATATCCTACACAACTACCACGAACTCTAACTTTCTGAGGATGTTTATTCCGAGTTTGAGTAATATTTCGTGATATTGGCCCCCTCTTGTCCGATTAGAGGTCAACAACACCTCTTCCTTACTTTTTTCGAATATTCAGTACAGTCCTTCTAATTACTTGTCCAGATTACCTTCACGGTGGGTTGTGTTGTGATTTTCGGATTATACTCTACTCGAAAACACACAAAAAATTATGTTTTCGGTCCATTTCATCCCAAAATTTTAATCTGATCATCGCCGAAAATTGTAGGCGTTGTTCTTGACCATAACTGGAACTTCTTGAAAAATTTCAAAGCCATCAGCGCTATATTTCTCCCTCTAATGTGGTAATGGGTTACTAAATAATATCTGAATACGTAAGCACCTGTAAATATTTGACTGTAACTCCCACATCTGAGTAGATACATCACTATATTTGGTATCAATTTAAAGGCCAACCACTCCTCTTGGATATGCTATCAACTCCTGGGGTCTACATCCTCCAGGAGTAAATATATATGCCATAGAATACAAATTTTGTCATTTTTCACACAAAAGTCAGGGTCCATTTGACCCGCTAAACATTGACCGATCTTTATCAAAACATGCATGCTTATTCTCTGGCCCGATTTCTCCATGCAAAAATTCGCGGTGTTTGGGCCATAATTGCGGCCTCTGGAGCGACCAGAAAAACCGACAAAAATTTAGTATTTGGTCCATTTCATCCCCTAAATATTAACCGATCTTTTCCAAAAACAATAGGGGTCTTCATTGGCCAATTGTGCAAAATTTCGTGAAGATTGGTCCATAACTGTGGCCTGTATCGTGTTTACAAATTATAATGGACAGACGGACGGACGGACGGACGGACACACATGTCTAGATCGACTCAGCTAGTCGAGATATGACTTATACTTAAAGGTGGGTCTAGGACCAATATTTCGCGGCGTTACAAACATTTGGGGCTGCACAAAGCTATAATACCCTGACAACATAGTTGTGTAGACATTTTCATGATTCTTAGGCCGTACCAAAGTAGTGTTAGTTTAATCTTCGCAACAAACGATTTTTTCATTATTTTCATATTAATTTTTGAGTAAATTGTTAACATATTAAAATAGTTGTTTTTGCCAATAGTCGCCAAAAAATAAAATAGTTATTTCATAGATAGAAGAATGTGGGATTTGTATTTGATTTTTCAGCTACGTTTTTACTCTACGTGTTGTAGGAAACCTTCTTTCAGCTGATGCTGTGGTTACCGGTATTGCTATTAAAATTTGTAGGTCGTGGATCCACAGATCCACTTTCAGATATTTTTCATAAAATTGTATGATTTCTTTAAAATCTTAAGATCAAAATTTTATAATTCTCGATAATTTTTTCATTCATTTCATTTTCCAGAAATCTGCTTGTTATATTTACAATCAGTTCGTTCAAACATGGTAAAAATATTGTAATTCTATAAAATATTCGGAGTTCGAACTCATGACATTTGACCTGAAACTTCTTAGAAATAAATTCAAATTAAATTTTACCATTTTTCCTATGTCTTCCAACGATTCCACTATCCCTTCTATATTTGTACGCAATCATGCGGTTCAATATATCGTGTTTCGCAATATGAACGTAATCATTTGAAAGATTTATTTGCTTCTCGAAATATTGTACATAATGTATCAGAACTTTTTGGATTTTCTAAGGAATGAGTAAATTTCCAAAATTGTAGAAAATATTCTACAGCTGCATTTAAATTAAATTTTAAAATGTGAAAAGAATAATTAATGTATACCGCAAAAATGAATTTTGATTTAATAATGGTCTGCGCCGTCATATCCTTAACATCTCAAAAATGTTGCATCCAAACCTAAACTGATTACTATGTTTATTCTGACGGTCTAAAATTATGTTGCTGTTAACCATTCTAATTCCTCGTAACAAAGGAAACATTCTTGACTTTTTTAGATATCTTGTCAAAAATTTTATACATATATGGTTTCGTTTGCTAAAACCGAAAAGAGTACAGCACTTTTCACTTCTTCGACAAAAGACTTCTGAATGTATTCTCCAATTGGTTTTATTAACTCGTTCTGTATTCTGGGACTCAAGTATATTGAATTTTTGGGTGTACTCTCCAAACATTTGCTAAGTTTACGTCTAAAGACAGTATTCAGAAGCCTTTACTTTCACTCAAGACGATGTCTTCCCTTTCACATAATAAAATTGTCTCAGTGACCACTTTAACATACTTTTGTTCTTTCAATATATCTGAAGCTTGTTTGTTGTTGTACTATACGTATTGAAACATATATTCTCGATATAAAGTCCTGAGTCCTCATCATCGCATCTTTGTGGTATTCCTTCTTTCGTGATCTGTGAAGCATTCTAGAGCATCTTTCCAATTTGTAAGAGGGTGCGACAGAGGTTATTTTGGGACTTGGTGATTGCCTCTTCCGCACCCGCCTTTATTTAAAAATTTGATGCCGATTTTACATAAATCACCTTTAGCTAACTCTGAATATGCGATACAAGAAACCCTGGGACCGGGTCGGGCATAATTAAAATTTTA